AAAATAGAAGATTTAGATAACATCTAGAGTCTCATAACATTATAGCCAAAATGTCCAGGATTCAATCAAAATCAGTCATATGAAGAACCAGGAAAATCTCAACTTGAATGAGAAAATACAACAGGTACCAACACTGAAATGACACAAGTGTTAGAATTATCTGACAAGGATTTTAAAGTAGCCGTCATAAAAATGTTTCAAACAAACAATCATCAACACTTGAAACAAATGAAAAAATATAAAGTCCCACAAAGAAATAGAAGATATAAAGAAGAACTAATGACAAAAATCAAACTAACCCACAATGAATGGGCTCAACAGCAGAATGCAGAGGATAGATGAAAGAAGTAATGAATCTGGAGAGTGTATAATAGAAATCCTCCAATCTGAGCAACTGAGAGAAAATAGATTGGAAAAAAGAAGAAGGAGGAGGAGGAGGAGGAGAAAAGAAGGGAGCCTGGGGGACTTATGGGACTATAACAAAATATCTAACATTTTGGAGTTCCAGAATTTTCTTTCCCAGTGGAGTCCCAGAAGGAGAAGGGAAAGAGAGTGAGGCTGAAAATATATTCAAAGAAATAACGGCTGAAAATTTTCCAAATTTGGCAAAAAACATAAGATTCAAGAAGCTGAGTGAATTCTGACAAGGATAAACTCAAAGAAATCTATACCAAGACATCAAAATCAAATTTCTGAAAACTAATAACAAAAAAATCTCAAAAGCAGTGAGAGAAAAATGATACCTCACTTATAAGAGAAAACAATCTGAATGACAGCAGATTTCTCATCACAAACTACTGAGGCCAAAAGACAGTGGCAAGACATTTTTCAAGTGTTAAAACAAAAGGACTGTCATCCCAGAATTTTATATCCAACAAAAAAAATATCCTAGAGACTGACATATAGAGTGAAGTCAGTCAGAAAGAGAGAAACAAATATGGTATATTAACGCATATTTGTGGAATCTAGAAAAATGGTACAGATGAACCAGTTTGCAAGGCAGAAATACAGACATAGATGTAGAGAAAAAATGTATGGGCACCAAGGGGGGAAAGGTGGGGTGGGATGAATTGGGAGATTGGAATTAACATATATAAACTAATATATATAAAATAGATCAACACTTGAAATAAGAACCTGCTGTATAGCACAGGGAACCCTGCTTCACTTCTCTGTACAGTAGAAACTAACACAACATTGTAAAACAACTATACCCCAATAAAAAAATAAATTAATAAAATAAAATAAAATAAGAATATCTTTCAGGAATGAGGGGCGGAATTCCCTGGTGGTCCAGGTTAGGCCCAGGTTAGGACTCTGCACTTCCACTGCAGGGGGCACAGGTTCAATTCCTGGTCAGGGAAATAAGATCCTGCATACGGTGCAGTGTGGCCAAAAAAAAAAGGAGTGAGGGGAAAAATCAAGACATTCTCAGAAGAAGGAAAACTAAGAATTGTTACTATCAGACCTACTTAAAAAGAATGGCTAAAGAAAGTACTTAATCAGAAAGGAATTATAAAAGCAGGCATCTTGGAACATCAGAAAGGAAGAAACAACAGCAAAAGAGTAAAAATATAAGTAAATACAACAGACACTTAAGTTTTCTAAATTATATTTGACAATTGAAGCAAGAATTAGACATCTGTCTGATGTGGTTTCCAATGTATGTAGAGGAAATATTTAAGATACTGTTGTTATAAATGCGAGAGGATAAAGGATTTAAATGAAGAGAGGAAGAGGTGGGTGTGACTATAAAGGGGTAGGATGAGGGAGATCTTTGTGGTGATGGAATAGTTTTGTATCTTGATTGTGGTGGTGGTTCCACAAATCTATACGTGTGATAACATGGCATAGAGCTATGCACACACATTTCATCCATGTCAATTTTCTGGTTTTGATATTACACTATAGTTACACAAGATATATCCATTGGGGGAAATTGCATGAAGGGTACAGGCGATCTCTCTGTACTATATTTACAACTTCCTGTGGATCTATAATTATTTCAAAATAAAAAGTTAATTTAAAAATGTAATTACATAAAATACAAAAAAAAAAACCCAGCAATACCTAATAAGTGAAAGCAAAAATGAAACAAATAAATCCAACTGTGTATTGAGTTAGTAGTACAACCACACAGAGGAATTATTTTAAGTGACCTTAAACACAGCAATTTGACTCTACATCCTTAATAGGAAATACGCTAAGGACAAAAAAACAATTGCAAAGAAAGAAATAAAAACTTAAACCATTTAAGTAACCTTACTGATGGTAGTCTCATTTTATTCTGATATTGCTGTGTGTTTATCACAGAATAAAACAGATAAGTAATTATGCTGGCCTCATTAAGAGCCAGTATCCTTTTTTGGTGTGGGAGAAAGGAGATAGAGAATTAAGATAGTTAAAACTGTCGAAAACTGAATTGAATGGGAAATACCAGTAAATTTCATAATGTATTTTCCCTTAAAAAGAGAAATAATGAAACAAGAAATCATATTTCTTAGTTCTGCTCACTGCAAAGTCCTAGAATCAACAACCAACCCAGAAGCAATGAGCACCACCAGATTGTGCTCTCTAAATAATATTCCTACAAAGAGGAAATAGGGGTTTTCCCTGGTGGCGCAGTGGTTGAGAGTCCGCCTGCCGATGCAGGGGACACAGGTTCGTGCCCTGGTCTGGGAGGATCCCACATGCCGCGGAGCGGCTGGGCCCATGAGCCATGGCCGCTGAGCCTGCGCATCCAGAGCCTGTGCTCCGCAACGGGAGAGGCCACAACAGTGAGAGGCCCGCGTATCACAAAAAAAAAAAAAAAGAGGAAACAGGGTTTCTTAGAGAAATAGCTGATTCTAGGTCTGGGCCAGGACATGTACAAGATGAGCCTGAAACATTTGTCCCAATATTAGGATATCAAGGATGCTAGAGAAACTACTAGGCAGTTTCAAAACACTAGCACCGGACAAAACCCCTACTGTCCAAAGATGGGACAATTTAAGCATCAAGAATAATACTTGCAATGGATTAAAATGTAGCCAAAATGTATAAATCTGTGAATTCATGATGGGACTCAAGATAATAAAAATAACTTTATTGATCACCTTTGGAGAATACTAGGGAACCAACTCATTTTGAAAACTGATAAATAAAGGGGAAAAAATCATTTATCCATCCTTTCATATGTGAACTATACCACACAATAACTAAAACTTTACTGAGGAGATATTTCTCTTTATAAATGCCGTAGAGCTAATAAATGAAGAAATAATGATATCCTCAAATTGAATGCACCATTCTGCAACCCTGTATAGAATAAAGGATCTAGGCAATTTTCATCAAGGGCTGCTAACATCAGTAAAAGAGTGATATCTAGACCCCATGAACCTCCTGATGAACGTACACATCACCACTTAGGAACTGTTCCAGCCCCCAAAATTGAACGTGAATCTGCTCTTACCAATTCACAGGAATAACACCATGGGGATGCAGTGAGAAAACCCAGACTCTGGGAAACCCTACAGTGCAAACAACCCAGTTTCTTCCACAAATAACGAGAGAAAAAGAGAGAGAGAGAAAGAAACCTACAGATTTAAAGAGACTTAAGAGACACATCAGCCAATTGTAATGCAGGAGTCCTATTTGGATCCTGATTTCAACTATAGGGGGAAATAAATGTTGAACAAATATTTGATGCTATTAATGTCTTGTTTTTAACTTTGAGCTTTGATAGCTATGGTTGGTATGTTTATTTATGTTCTTAGCATTTAGAGATACATACTGAAAAATTTACAGATGAAATAATATGCTGTCTTGATTTGCTTCAAAATAACCAGGGTTCAAGGAGGAAAGTGGGAGGTGAGCATAAATGAAATGATTGGCTATGAGTTGATCACTGGGTGTTAAGGCTGTGTGATAAGTACATAGAAATTCATTTTACTATTCTCTCCACTTTTGTATGGCTTTGAAACTTTTCATAATAAAAATTTTAGGGCTTCCCTGGTGGCACAGTGGTTAAGAATCCACCTGCCAATGCAGGGGACATGGGTTTGAGCCCTGGTCTGGGAAGATCCCACATGCCTCAGAGCAACTAAACCTGTGTGCCACAACAACTGCGCCTGCACTCTAGAGCCCACGAACCACAACTACTGAGTGTATGGGCCACAACTACTAAAGCCCATGCACCTGGAGCCCTTGATCCACAGCAGGAGAGGCCACTGCAATGAGAAGCCCGCGCACCGCAACTAAGAGTAGCCCCGACTTGCCGCAAATAGAGAGAGCCCGCGCACAGCAACAAAGACCCAAAACACAGCCAAAAATTAAAAACAAATTTTTGTAATATACCCTTATAGAGCCAGAAAACTGAATTCTTATAATTGCCTCCGTGATCTCCACCTATTGGTCTTTCTTCTGTTCTCTGGAGCCTAGAAGACTAGTATCACAGTAATAGTAATAATAATAATATCAACAATAACAGCCAACATTTTTGGAGCACATACTTACTAAGTGCTAAATTCAGGTTATGAGCTTTTTATGAAGATTTTCATGTAATCCTGACAAAGTCCTAAAGTAGGTACAATTATTATCCCGTTTTACAGATGAGGAACCTGAGGGCAATAGGTTTGATGACAGAGCTCAGCCTCAAACCAAAATCTGACTGCGGATTTCCAGCTTATAACCACTAAGCTACGCCAACACACAGGGTAAAAGGTGAAGAGGGCTGTCATGGCCTCAGTCTTCCCTTTTTTGGGTTAAGCATCCTGACTTCTTTCACTCTGCCCCTCCCTGCCAATGTGGCTTCAATGTCCCACACCATCATTGGAGCACCCTTGGAGCACCTTGGAGTTATAGAAGCAGTTGAGTTTCTTGAAAGCATCCTAGGCTCCCTGTACAGCTTGCGCCACCCCCATGCACACCCAAGCTGCGGGGATTGCCAGACAATCTCTAGTCGGCCTGCATCCAGGCTGGGATCCTGAACATGTGCAAGTCCCAGGGGTGGCATGGCTCACCTGGGCCTCGGTGCCTCTTCTCCATCCAGATGTAGCAGTTGTTCTGGGCCACCCCGGTCTGCGAGTCCAGGAATGGGAGACGCACGCTGCGCTCTGCGCACAGGCGCGAGTTATAACTCCGGCAGTGCTCAATGGCCTCCTTGTAGAACTGGTCCCCGAGCCTGCCGGGAGACAGAGAGAGGAGGAATGAGGCCAGGGAAAACCAGAACACACGCAGAAGGAAACTGAAGTCACCCACCCACCTCCCAGGGAAGATTTTGCGGTTATGAAGACCAAGGCAATGTGTACCGAGAGCTTTGCCAAGCAGCAGAATCCAACTCAGTGTCAGGTCTCCAATAGGTTCTATTTCCTGTACTAGATCCACCAGGAAGCTTAGAAACCCCTTTAACAAAGAAATGAGGACCCCAAGAATAAACCACCAGTAAAAGTGACACTTCCCTGTTCTGGGAAGCATGAGGTCCCACTCCAGAATGGAGGTAGCTCTAGAACAACCTCCTGCATGGGATCTACTAGGACACCAGGCTTCTAGAGCCCCCTGCCCCTTAAAATCCCCCATGAGCCACACTTTTTTCTCAGTGGTAACCAACAAAGGCACTCTAGATTGAACCCAAACCACCAGCACAGATACAAAGATTTCCATTACAATAGAAGAGAAACACTCCATAGAAAAGACTAGAAGGTCAGAGGAAACATCCTGTAAAAGTAGAGCTATTATGGAGGAAGGAGGTGAAGAAGGGCATGCACCAATCTTTTAAAACCACACACTTAAAGAAAAATAACTTTCTGATGGAAAACAAACAAAAGAAACATTTGAAATAATAATAGTTGATTTTTGACCTCAAAATAATTCCATTCCCAGAGTTTAATACACAAATAGAAAGACCTTTCTGGTTTGCTGGAGTGGTGATCTGATTAAGCACAGTAAATTTTAGGTGTCTGAATCTTTGGTATCCTTGGACATGTGGTGATGCTACTAATTTTAAGACAATGTCCTTTTCAAAAACCAAAAATACAACATTCTATAATTGATCAATCTTAAAACACAAACATAATCAATGAGATCAAATACCTAACAAGTAAAAGATAGGCATATGGCAGAGGTTAATAATGACCCAAGGGGCCTTCCCTGGTGGCGCAGTGGTTAAGAATCCGCCTGCCAATGCAGGGGACACGGGTTCGAGCCCTGGTCCGGGAAGATCCCACATGCCGCAGAGCAACTAAGCCCGTGTGCCACAACTACTGAGCCTGCGCTCTAGAGTCCGCGAGCCACAACTACTGAGCCCACATGCCGCAACTACTGAAGCCTGCGCTCGGCAACAAGAGAAGCCACTGCAGTGAGAAGCCCGTGCACCGCAACGAAGAGTAGACCCCACTCGCTGCAACTAGAGAAAGCCTGCGTGGCAACAAAGACTCAATGCAGCCAAAAATAAATAAAATAAATTAAAAAAAAATAATGGCCCAAGGAATTACAGATGTAATCACATGATGTCTACCAGGTAAAGCAGAGATTCTTAGTGAGGAGAGTGAGGAAAAGGCAGGAAGAGGAGGAGCCTCAGGGATTACAGAGCCAAAAGGGAGACTCCAGTAGCTCATTTTGAAGGGACATTATGAATGTCCCTATTTTTTGGTCTATGTAGATCCAAGGATGCCAAAATGGGGGGGGGAGGGGTCTAAGTTTAAAATAATATATTTCTTAACCAAAATATTTAGAGCAGTAAAGAAAGAAAAATTTACATGGAGTCTTCTGTACTCTTTTTCACTTTTTTATTGAAGTGTAGTGGATGTACAATATTTTGTAAGCTACAGGTGTACAATATATAGTGAGTCACAATTTTTAAAGGTTATATTCCATTTATAGCTATCGTAAAATATTGGCTATATTCCCTGTATTGTACAGTATACCCTTGTAGCTTATTTTATATGTAACAGTTTGTACCTCTTAATACCCTACCCCTATCTTGCCCCTCCCCCTTCCCTCTCCCCACTGTTAACCACTAGTTTGTTCTCTTTATCTGTGAGTCTGCTTCTTTTTTGTTATATTCACTAGTTTGTTGTATTTTTTAGATTGCACATATAAGTGTTATCATGCAGTATTTGTCTTCTTACCCTTTTTTAAAAGTCAATGGGTCAGACTGTACCAAAAATTTTAAAGCAAATTCCTTATTCTGGGAGGATACAATCATTGAAGCTTCTGAGGCATCTTTTGGAAACTACTTGTGGACGTGCCTCCTAAAAAAAAGCCCTTTGCTCCTTTTTTACCTCTGGGCATCTTCCCTCTCACAAGGACGGCATAACAGCTCAGAAAGTGTCTAGCAGTTGCAAAACCTAACTGTAATCAAATTATAATAGTCACACAGCTGGAAATGAATTGGGGAGGGGGAATGAAAGCCCATCAAAATGCTATAAAATGGAACTGCACATAAGCTGATGTAATCAAAGTTAGTAACAAGGATCATGAGATTGATCAAAAATAAAGAACCATTTCCTGCAAAGCGTTCGCATCTGTGTCCCACCAGTTTAAATACCTCCTTCTGCTAAGGCGATGCAGCTCAGTGTAACAGAACTGTCGAGGGCAGCTCAGCCCAGGCAAGGTGACACACAGCCTGTCCAGGGTGTCCTGGGGGCTCCAGCTTCCCTCCACATAACAGAGACCAGTCACATCACATGGACGAGAACTGACAAGAACACACGACAGAGAAGCGTCTGATGTGAGAAGCCGTTATCTGGTTTCCCAGGATATTTTGACAGACTGCCAAGAAAGATGTTAACTATTCCAACTCCAAAACTTCTGCTTAAAGAGAAACCATGGAAGGAAAGGAGGAGGGACGGAGGGAGGGGAAGGAAGGAAGGAAGGGAGGGAGGGAAGGAGAGAGGGAGGGGAAGGAAGGAAGAAAATTGTACACTAAAATTCATCAACTGGATAGCTAGTGGGAAGGAGCCACATAGCACAGGGAGATCAGCTTGGTGCTTTGTGACCACCTAGAGGGGTGGGATAGGGAGGGTGGGAGGGAGGGAGACGCAAGAAGGAAGAGATATGGGGACATATGTATATGTATAACTGATTCACTTCGTTATAAAGCAGAAACTAACACAGCATTGTAAAGCAATTATACTCCAATAAAGATGTTAAAAAAATAAATAAATAAAATAAAGATGCCTTCAAAAGAATTAAAAAATAAAGAAAAAAAAAAACTCATCAACTGGAGAGAAGAGGGTTTCCATTTTCAAAACAAACTTCTGGAAGCCAGTACAAAAGAAATCTACAATAGGATCTCAAATCAGACTTTTCTCGATGTGCCTGGAACTTGCTTCCAACAGCTTGAATCCCAAAAAGAGAAACAAGAAAGTGAACTTGCTGAAAATGAGAAGTGCGTTTGGCCAAGTCCATGCCCCATACTGAATGGAACGAAAAAGTCAAACAAAGTGGCTCACTGGGTGAAAATTAATTTCATCTTAAATACTTTCCACTTTCATAACATGCAATGTTATTAGTAACAGGCATGCTGCGGGGAAATGTGTATTTTTAAATGTAATCTTTGTGTGAATGATACCTCCCTCATGTAAACAGGAGAGATTTTCTGAGGACTGGAACAACCGTATTAAAGACTGAAGCTACAAAAACGTGACAGCCGTCACCCTCTGCCATCGCCTCCAGGGAAGTCACTTTTAAACAGGCCAGGCATTGGCAGCGATTTGGAAACAAAAGTTTAAAGCCTTTTTTAAGATATGTGAGGAGAAAAGAGACTTCATCCTCTGATAAATTCAAGCTGCACTTCTCCAAAAGTTAATTAGCCAAAAGCTTCACAGGGCTTGCTCTGTTCTCTAGAAGAAAATCAATGGCCAGGTCTCCCTAACCCATGGAAAGCAATTTAAACAGGAGAGGGGACAAATGTCCTTTTCAATGTGGTATTTCTTTTTTTTTTAAATTGAAGTATACCTGATTTACAATGTTGTGTTAATTTCAAGCGTACAGCAAAGTGATCCAATTATACATACATATATACATATACTTTTTCAGATTCTTTTCCATTATAGGTTATTATAAGATATTGAGTGTAGTTCCCTGTGCTACACAGTAGGTCCTTGTTGTTTATCTATTTTATACATAGTAGTATGTATATGTTAACCCCAAACCCCTAATTTATCTCTCCTCTCCCCATGTGGTATTTCTTTTTAAAAAATCCCACATTGGGGGCTTCCTTGGTGGCGCAGTGGTTGAGAGTCTGCCTGCCGATGCAGGGGACACGGGTTCATGCCACGGTCCGGGAAGATCCCACGTGCCGCAGAGCGGCTGGGCCCATGAGCCATGGTCGCTGAGCCTGCGCGTCCAGAGCCTGTGCTCCGCAACGGGAGAGGCCACAACAGTGAGAGGCCCGCGTACCACATAAAAAAAAAAAAAATCCCACATTGATAGGATCCCAGGGGTGACATTTGCATTAAAGTTGCAAGGGGCAGGGACTTCCCTAGTGGTCCAGCGGTTAAGACTCCTCGCTCCCAGTGCAGGGGGCCCGAATCAGGGAACTAGATCCCGCGTGCATGCCACAACTAAGAGTCTGCATGCCACAGCTAAGACCCAGCACAGCCAAAATAAAAAATAAATAAATATTAAAAAAAAAAAAAAGAAAAGGAAGTTGCAAGGGGCAGAGGAAGGGGCAGAGGAAGCTGGGAAAGGCTGGCAGCAAATGAATCATTTCGTGCAGTGGTGACCAGTGTGCCCCAGGCTGGGACAGGCACGGCCCAGCCTCAGCCATCACCTGTCTGCATCAAACCAAGGGGGCTAGATTTTCCACAGGGTGATAGATGTCTTGGGCTCAAAGAAGCTGGCACGAGGCAGAGCTGAATGATGGTCTCATCAACAACTGACTTCAGGCTACTCAAGGCTGAAATCAGAAGCAGGAAAGGCAGGGGGAACAAAGTGCTGGGCTCTCCGCCAGAGCAGGAGCCCCTCACGGCCTGCTGCTTGGAGCAGTGCTGGCTGCCCCGTGCCGGAGCTTTTGTGAGGGGTTTTGTGGGATCCTTAGCCATCCCTTCTGGAGCGAGAGAGCCATCCTAGCTCTGAGAGCCTTCCAGTGGCCCTCCTTGAGCGCATCTGTGGAGAAATGGATTCTAGGCACCAAAGAGGATTCAGAGTGGAAAAAAATAAGACTTCTCCAAAATGACT